CCCAGCAGAGGACAGACCATGCAAGGCCTGCAGAGGAAACACGGCCGCTCAGACAGTGGAGGAACTGGATGAGGAGGCATCTGGAAGCAGTCTGGAGTCTGTTTTGGGAGAGATGGAGGCAAGAGATGAGGAGGGTTCAGTGACCAGGGAAGAGGTGAGGTCCAGGCATGACTGGGGCCAGGATGAAGAAAAGGGCTCCAAGGTGACCTGTACATAGGAGGAGGGACAAGAGCTAGTGATTTATGGGATCTAGAGGAGGGAGGGAGGTCAAGGTGGACACCCACACCTGGGTTCTGACATTAGAGATGGGGCTACCACGTCATCAGAGGGATGGGGCTCTCAACAGGAGAAGTGGGCTTGGAAAGGGAGGTGACAAGTCAGTTATGGCCACATTGAGTGGAACAATCCTTGGGGCCATCGAGGGGGAGGTGTCCAGCAGGATGTTGGAAGGGAAGAGGCCCACGACACTCACCTGGAGATTAGTCTGTGACAGTGTCTGCAGCCTGCATGCCCAGTGCTGCCCTTGCTGCCTTCCTCCTGCAGGACCTCACTCTGGATGAAGAGACCAGGGCCTGTGAGTGTGGCCGCATTGGGGCTCAGAAGGCAGCAGACTCACCTCGCTGTGCCCTGCTAAGGGGCTGGAGGGGACTGAGGCAGAGAGAGCAGGCGTAGCCCCCAGGACCTCCCCGATGAGAGCAGGAACCTCCCCAGCCTGGAAATTGGTCCAGAGTTGGGGACTGACAACATTGGCCCGTGTGGAATCATCACGATCAACTCAGCCTCTGCCTGGCCGCAGGCGTCTTAAACTGTCCAAGCACCCCCAGGATTAAGATCTGGGATTGAGCGGTGTATCCTCTGCCCTCTCCACCCCTCCCCTTGGACCCTGGGGCGGGGCTTACCTGAGGAGGATGAGGCAGAGGCAGAGAAGCAGGATCTTCGTAGCCATCCCCCCGACAGCCACCACAACCAGCCCCGTCACGGGCCCTGATTTGCCTGGAAAAGTGGGATGAGGCCCGTTCACCTGCTAAACTACAGTCCTGAGTCCTTCCTTTCTTATTGCAACTTCAATCTGGGTTCTCCAGGCCCTTCCTACACCCTTGGCTGTGGGACCTGGAGAGCCCAGGCCTCCCTACCCTACACCCTGACTGTCCAGCAGGAAACGAGAGTTCTGGGTCCCATGGACGTTCTGGGCCTCCAAGCGGAGCCTGAGGTTGGAGCCAAGCCCCCACTTGGAGGCTTGAGGGAGCTGTTGACCCAGGGCCTGGCTGAGCTGGGGGTGACCTCGAAGAAGCCCTGGCTGCTGTTCCCCTCCAACAGCTCCCCACCAATCCACCAGCTCAGAGCCGGGGCCGGGCTGGCTTGGGAGGAGCAGCTGCAGTGCAGACCCTCAGCCTCCCAGGAGCAGGAGGGGCCCAGCAGCTGTGGGGGGTCTGTGGGGAGGGAGGACAGGACTCAGCAGGGGCCCCTTCCTGGGACCCAGGTGCCCCCCTTTCCCCACTCGCAGTGCACGGAGAGGCTGAGAGAGACGTGCTGGGAGCCCAAGGGGTGGGACAAGGAGAGGACTCTGTCCTGCAGGACCCAGCTCAGCGTGGTGGGGGGCTGGCTGTCAGCAGCACAGAGGAGCCGCAGGAACTGGCTTTTCTGGGCTTCCAGGACAGAGGACCAGACGCCATTCCCATCCCCCTCCCAGGGCTGAGCCCGCATCCTGGGACCTCACGGCTTCCTCTCCCTGGACGCTCCTGAGCTGGCAGCCGCTCACTGCCCCACTGGGCTCCTCCCCCTCCTCACCCACCGGGTCTGTCTGCACGCCCCAGCGTCCCAGGCCACACTCACAGGCCACGCGGAGTCGGACGGTCCTCTGTGCGCTCACACCCTTTCTGGAGAAGTCCACGTGGCAGGTGAGGTTGGTGTCGTCGTCCTGGGGGCTGGGCGTGAAGCTGAGCACTGAGAAGTGGGAGGTCGTTGGTTTGGTTCCTTGGGTGGAGAGGGCAGTCCCCGTCCAGGAGAAAGAAGGGGCTAGACATTCCTCAAAGGCCCAGTTAAACACACAGATGACCGTCACTGGCTGCCCGGGCTCCAGAGTCTCAGGGATGAAGACATCAGGCTTCTGAGTCAGGGCTGGGACAGAGACGGGGGTGGGGGGTTTCTAATGCTGCAGGGGTCCCTGAGAGCCCTCTCTGCTCAGCCCATAGCCTGTCCCCAGGGTCCCTCTCCAGTGTGAGAGGCAGCGGTTCCCATCCCATTCCATACCTGTTACTTTTAGAAGGAACCCATTGTTCCTGAAATTATATCTCACATATGTTCCTCTCTCCACCCGAAAGAAGTACCGTGCCTCATCCTCCCTCTGCGCGTCTCTGATCACCAAGGAGCAGCTCCCCTTGCCGGGATCCCCAGTGAGCTGGAATCGGCCCCGGGCGCTCATTTCCACCTCTCGACTCTGGTTGTTTGTGGCCACAGGAGCACCCGTATTTGTGTTGGTCCCTTCTTTGAACCAGTAGCCATAAGCAGCAGTAGACTCACTCCAGCCATCCCAGAGGTAGGAGAGGTTGCAAGGCACCATGATGCACAGGCCCTCCTGCACCGTCACCAGCCTCTGCACTTGAAGACTGTAACTGGGATCCTTGTTCAGGGACCCTGGGGAGATGCAGAGGCTCAGCGGCGGCCCCAGTCCCTGCATGGGACCCCCAACCGCCGACCCACTCACCCGCCCCCAGCACGGGCAGCAGCAGGGGCAGCAGCAGCATCTCTGGGCTCTGGGGCTGGGCCTGTCCCAGGACCATCCGGCTTCTGGGCCGGCCTGGCGGGGAAGGAAACTCCTCGAGCAGAAAGCCTGGCAGAGGGACAGTGACCATCCGCAGAGGAGGAGCCTCGGGAACCGCAATGTCCTGAAAGATCCTCTCCTGACTTCTGCTTTCACAGGGGAAGCAACAGGGCAGAGGGCATGAGGCCAGCCCCAAACCAGGAAGGAGCCACCCTGGCCAGCCTCGGGCGTGGGCAGTGCTAGGAGGGGACTGTCAGGGGACACAGGTGAGTCATGGCTGCAGGTGAGGTGATGGATGCAGAGTCCCATTCATTCATTCATTCATTCATTCATTC